ATACACATATATATGTATACTTATTTATGTATAGTCAAATCTGAACTTAGTGGAACAGGTATAGTCACTTGTATGATTCCAGAATCTTCTTCCTAGTTGGCTTTTTTAATACTACTCTCTCTTACCCCCACACATCTGAACAGAGAACCAGCCAAATCATATTATTCTCATCTTGTGTTCTCTTTTCTCTGGACCTTTGTCCATGCCATCCCTCCTTCCTGCCTTGTGCTGCCACCATCTTTACCTGCTAAAATCCTTCCCTTCAAGGCTCAACTCTGATGTTGTCACTTCTAGAAAGCCTTCCCTGGTCTTCCTAGCTCAAAGTAATATAACTCTGTCTTATTTTTAATTCCTTATAGCACTTTACCTTTGTACTTTTCTTCTGCCTTATATGGCAGTCACTGGTGTACCTGTCTTTTGCCCATTGTTAGATTGTAAGCTTCTTGAGGGTTGGTCCCATGACTTATTTTATTTTATTTTGAACTTATGAAATAAAACAATTATTTCCATAATGAAGTAGAATAGAAAAAAAGATGATTGTACATGAAGCTGCAAATCTATAATGTATTTGCTATTCCTTTCAAATATATAATAATGTAACTTTTTTTGCTTCCTTTTTTTCCCTCCCTCCATCCCTGTCCTTGAGATGGCTACCATTAGACACAAATATGTGTGTGTGTGTGTGTGTGTGTATAATATATATATGTATATGTATGTACTTATGTATGTAAAACCATTCTATACATATTTATATTTATCAGTTCTTTCTTTGGGTGCAGATATGCAGAGAGTGTTTTCTTTCCTATGTCCTTTACAGTTTTGGGTATTTGGGTATTTGTAGTAGTCAAAATGACTTAGTTGCTCAAAGTTGTTCTTAAAACAATATTGTTCTTACTGTATACCAATATTCTCTTGTTTCTGCTCATTTTGCTCACAGTATCCTGCACAATTTTTGTTGTTGTTGTTCAGTCATTTCAGTCATGTCCAACCCAATTGGGGTTCTCTTGGCAAGATATTGGGAGTGGTTTGCCATTTCCTTCTCCAGCTCATTTTTCAGATGCAGAAACTAAGGTAAACCAGGGTTAAGTGACTTGCCCAGGGTCACACAGCTAGTAAGTGTCTGAGGCCAGATTTGAACTCAGGAAAATGAGTCTTCCTGACTCCAGGCCCAGTACTCTATCCACCATGCCACCTACCTGCCCTGCACAAAGTGCTCAATAAGTTTGTGTTAAATTTGAATATTTTTAGTCTTCCTGTATCCTACAAGGCTAAGTCGAAACTCTTCTGACAGCTTTTAGAAGTTCTCTATAATCTCTAATCTTTGGAGGCTCTATCTAATTTATATAAACTTTACTTCTCTAAACTTACTTCGCTCAACACCAACCAGGTCCTCTTCTGCATTAGGCAGGCTGGTTGCCTCACTGCCTCTGTGAACGTGACATGTTCACTTTTGACCTTTGTACTTTCACTCAGGCTTCTTCCCTTGCCTAAAATGCCCTTTCCTTCTCCTCCCCCCTCCACCTGCCAACATATTGTTTATCTTTCTTCAAGGCTAAGTACAAGTATTGTGATTGAGTGGAAGGTGGATTGGGAGTTAGATTCTGGGTTCATAGCCTGACTCTGCCGCTTCCTACCTGTGACCTTGGGGCAAGTCACTGAGCCTCTCTGAAGTTGTACCAGATGACCTCTAAGATCCTTACTAGCTCTACATCCTGTGACCTTGTGATGTGCCAGCTCTTCCATGAAGATTTCTGAAATTTGCTCAAATACTCTAATATTTTACAGTATTTATAGAAATCTAAATACAATTAATGAAAAAAATCTCCTATTATCTAATAAAGTAAAAGTCAAATTACGCTTTTCTCCTTACAGTTACAGCAAACACACAGCTCTACTATGAAAAAGTAAAAGCCTAAAGGGTCAAAAGTGGAATTTTATTTGAATTTTTTTACTTGTACATAATCTATATTAAGATATACAAACAGATAAAAATGGTCTAGTAAGAGTAGGTCTGTTTATATCACTTTAATTCAATTTACAATAATTGTGGCAAAATACTGAAGGAGATGACAAAATACTCCAATTTTAAGGAAAAAAAATTCTTGGCCACTCTGGTTTACATCCCACTAGTCGTTAACAGGTTACAATATATGACTTATTTTCAGTTTACCATTAACAATGGATGCAAATAAGTACAAAATTTTCACAAGACATCAGTGAGGTACTCATAAAAGTTCCTGGTGTTATAAATTCCACTGAAATAAAAAGTAACTATTAGCATAGTTCACTTAAAAGTATGGAATTCTCTAGCACAATCTTTTCTTAGAAAATGGTAATAACAATATGTGCCAAGCCTTCCTATTCATGGGTTGCCTTGGGATGATACTGCAAAGTCAGTTGCCCTCTTGCTATTTGACTTATTTAACTAGGTATCCGTGGTAACTTTTCACATTCAATTACATCATAATTTCTGTCCCTTTTGTCTAAAACTAATACTATCCAATATACAATTACAACAGGTTAATGACCTTATAACAACTTAAAAAATTAAGGACAAATCAAAAGTTAATGGTCTGAGATACTGAGGATAAACAATTTTTTTTGTCCAGTGACCCAAGTTACTATATATTGCTTAACTTTGAAAAAGTTAAAATATTAGAAATGAAATTTACTTTTCATGAGCTCCTTCTCCATGCCCTCCCTCTGCTTTACTTTATTTTGGACAAAAGAAATGAACATTTCAAAGAACTTCCTTTTTCATGTATTAGCATGAAGTTGAAATGGCAATCTGGAATGAGATTTTAGACTAAATCTTATTTGTGAAGAAAATATCTCAATACAACCTAGCCTGTAGAATTAAACCACCTAACAATATCCTTTTAAAAGCAGCACAAACATATCAGAGCAAAACCTTTTTTTTAAAAATACTATAGTAACAAATTCAGGTGGATGAAAATAACTTGTGGCTTACACTATAAGTAGACAGCTAGTAATTAAGCACGTGGATAATTATGGGGGGACCAATTTTAATTTTTTCTAGTGATAAGATATAAATAGAATAAGAAGAGAAAAACCATGAATGGGCAGGGGGCTGGGGAAGGTATTGGGATGTGCTCTTTTCCTCCTGAGAACAGAAGGTTCTTAGGAAACAAGGAAATTTTACCAAATAATAGGCCTAGAATTACGTAGATTTCTTCTGGTACAAAGATTATAATCCTAATGAGATAAGAAAGATTCCCTCTCCCACCCCACCCTTCTAAAATGTCCCAGGAATTAATACAGCAGAAGAGACTTCAACAAAAAGAGAATTTTAAAATTCATTAATAAACAATCAACTCTGTTCAGAAGGACAGGGAAAGGAAATAATAAAAACTAAGAATTCTCACTTATTAGAATAAACTCTAAGTACAGAAAGCCAAGGAGTCAACATCTAGTCAAGTATTGTTAAGGAGATCCAAATGAACAGGTACAAGGGTCTACTATACTCCTATGAGACAGACACCAAATTGCTAAGAGTCTGAATGTTTGTGCTCATCAAAACCCAGCGCAATGGCATTATGAGACTATGCCCATGGGCACCAAGGTAACTATCTATCTTCCTATCGGATATCTATATGTACATGCCTTAGGCCAGAGGGCTAATATCTCAAGTCTGAAAGATGATCAGATTCACTCATTAATGTTCCTGTTTACATTTTTATTGTGAACTCTGTGTGTGTACATGCGTGTGTGTGCATGTATGTAATTCAAAGTCTTCTTCCATTCAGTACAATTATCAGTAGCAGTCAAAAGACTCGAGAGTTCACTTTAAATGTTGTAAGTATTTTAGAGGCAGCATGAAATACTAGATAGAAAGATGGCCTTAGAGTGAGGAAGACCTGGGCTTAAGTCTCACTTCTGACACATACTGGCTCTGTCATCTCAGGAAAGTGACTTACCCTCTAAGTGCCCCAAACAACCCTCTAAAGCCATAAATTGCAGAATAGTTGGCTGACCTAAATTGGTAGAGGTAATTTCCTTAGCAGAAATCCCTTATACTATTAAAAACACAGTTCTAGACCCTCACAAATATATATATATATATATATATATATATATATATATGGGGTTAATCTGGTATGACACATTTTATATATACATAAGTATGTATATATACAGATAGACACACATGTGTATGTGTGGATATCTTTTAAAATTTTACAGTCTTACTTTTTTCTTTTTTTAATATGAGCAGAGTGTGAGTCAGTAGTCTCACAAACTATAATCAGGGCATGGGGAATTAATTTAGGTTAAATAAGTGGCTACTGTTCATCCAGAATTAAAAAACAGAAACTCTGATGTAGGGATTTCCTCAGGATCATTTCAAGGTGGAACATTGGCTTCTGTGGATCTTAAGCCTAAACAAATATAAACAATAGCCAAAAGGAGAGAAAAGTAAATGGGGTGATGGGTTGGGGAGTTTAGTGAGACGCTCCATCTACAAAGATGATCAAGAAAACTTAGTGAGGTACGTTTCTGTTTTATGTGCCAAAGCTAACTGCATGAGAAATTATGTGCTTCCAGGATACCAACAGTGTGGTTTATCTCTGCCTCTAGATAGAACCACTAAAATTGGGAATATACTAATTGCAAGTTTTATATAAACTCTGGCTTCTTAGACCTGTTTTTTGTGGTTCATTCACTAAAAACTCAAGATTCTCAAATGATCTTGGACAATCTCTGAAGAGTTACCATTATTTAACCACTGTCAAAACTCAACAGATATCCATTGGCAACCCCCCAGAGGTAGAAACTCCCTCTCTTTCACTGTATTACCAGAATCGAGGTCCTGGAGCCCTTTGTAATCCCTCTTAACGATGGGCCTTTGCAATTTACAGTTCCTGGTGAATTCTGAGGAACAGTGGAAGAGTATGCAAAGGAAATCGTATTCCATGAGAAACATTCAAGTTCACACACAGGCTACTAAACCAAGAAATAAAGCACATAAGCATGTTAGGAGATTCTGTTTCTGTTCACTTTGTAATTTTTCTCCCCTTGTGCCAAATTCAGGAGCATATACTAAAAGCAAAGCAACAAATTGTCTGACTGATCTGAAGACAGTCACTCTGACAGAAAGCTGTGAATTTCGCAACAATCTTACAACTAGGCAGCTTCACAAATAGAATTCAAGTCAGCAGAGTCATACTGAACAATGAACGTGAAATAAAACTCCTTCCCCAGCAGGAGGAAAACAAAAGGCTTGCTCCATAACAGTGCAATGACAACAGCATGTTTTTTTGTGTGAAGCACATGATTTGCTATGTTTAGTGGCACTTAAATATTACACAGTAAATACTGGGGGGTGGGGGAAACCTGGAATTTTTGGATGTGCAGAAAGCGTAATCACATTATTAATACAAAAGTTGCTAAGCTCTGGTGTTATAATAGCATTACATGAGCACTGAGGCCACTACAAATTTTCAACACACTGCCTTCCTTGTTGGCCCATGGTTCATCAATTTCAATTAGCTGCCCCATGTGGTGAGCTAATGGAGAGAGCCTCAGTCTGACCAGTCATTATCATCAAACTCCGAGTCATCGTCAGAATCGCTGTACTCCACAGCGATACGTCTGGAAAGGATCGTCGCCACGTCATTTCCCACGGGCTCGCGTTTCGCTTCTTGTTCCCGCTGTTCTTGCACCTTTTTCAGCTGAATTCCTGTAGGCAAAACAGTTCAGAATGAACTCCCTTATTCTGACCCAAATGCAAAAATCAAAATCATTATTAGAGCAGCGATACCAGAATTAGGGGGAAAAGGCATTCTGAAAAGTTAAAAGAACTATAGTGAAGGAAATGTTAACATTTCCTTAAGGAGAAAAATGAATGAACATCTATCCATTAAACAATCAGAAGCTGTCTTTTCCCATAAAAGAAATTAACTCAACTAGCAGGAATAAATTTCACATATGGTGTGCTAGCATGTGTTCTTAGGGTGGGTAGGTGGTGCAGTGGATAGGGTGTCAATCCTGCAGTCAAGAACTCATCTTCTTGCGTTCAAATCTGGCCTCAGACACTTACTAGCTGTGTGATTCTGGGCAAGCCACTTAACCTGTTTGCCTCAGTTTCCTCATCTGTAAAATGAGCTGGAGAAGGAAATGGCAAAATCACTCCAGTATCTTTGCCAAGAAAACCCCAAATGGGGTCATGAAGAGGTGGACACAACTGAAGAACAACAAAGCATGTGTCCTTACGTACTGCACTTTTTAAAAGAGAAGCGGTAAAACCTGTTCTAACTGCATTCTCCAATGAAGTGAAAAGTTGGTCAGAAAGCTCTATTTCAATTCTTATTATTGGACACACTTCTCAAATGTGTTCATCTACTTTTCTGTCTTAAACTGTGCTACACTCGAATGCTTCCAGGAGCAGTGGCTTCCTTGATACAGGTGTTCTCTATTCAAAAATCAGTAAACAAGTATTTGTTAAGAGCCTGTTATGTACTAGTAATAGCGCTAGGTTCTGGGATAGAAAGGGAAAACAAATAGAACAATCCCTGCCTACAAGGAGATTATATTCTAACAGGAAGGACAACATGTGTACACCCACACACACACACACACACACACACACACACACACCGCTAAGTAAATACAATTACTAAATAATAGAGAGGAGAAGGGGGAATTAAGAACAGGCTTCATGTAAGAGGTAGTGTCTGAGTTGATAAATTAAGGATTCCAGAAGATGAGGGAAGAATGGGGAGCTGGACAAAAGCACGGGGAGAGGAGTTAAATGTCACATGTTATTCACAGTGAATAGCACTGAAAAGGCCAGATAATCTGGCTGAACTAGGGGAGTAAAATGATGTGCCTGATAGGTGGGAAACAGGTTGTAAAGGGATTTAACTGCCAAACGGGAGTTTGCAGTTGATACTAGAGGCAATTAAGAGCCACTGAAGCTTACTGAGGAAGAGAGAGAAATAGTCCTATCTGTGGCAAAGATGTGATATTCCAATCCAAAGTCCATTGGAGGTGAAAAAAAAATAGTAAGCTATTCAAATAGTAATGAAGGAAGGAAGGAAGGAAGGAAGGAAGGAAGGAAGGAAGGAAGGAAGGAAGGAAGGAAGGAAGGAAGGAAGGAAAGAAACAAGTATTATTAAACACTTACTATGTGCCTGACACTATGATAAGTATTTAACAAATATTTCTCATGTAAATACTTACAACATCCTTGGGAGATAAGTGCTATTGTAATATTCCTATTTTACAGTGAAGAAAACCAAGGCAGACAAAGGTTAAGTGATTTGTCCAGGGTCACATAGCTACTAAGTATCAGGCTGGATTTGAACTGAGGACTTCCTGACTCCAAGCCCAGTACTCTCTCCACTGCACCTCCAGTTACTTATAAAACTAAAACCAATATGAAATTTTTGTGTTGAGACCACTGCCTTAGAAATATCTTATTTTGGGGGCAGGAGGTGGTGCAGTGCATAGAGCCCCGGCCCTGGATTCAGGAGGACCTGCGTTCAAATTCAGCCTCAGACACATAACACTTACTAGCTGTGTGATCCTGGGCAAATCCCTTAACCCCATTGCCTAGCCAAAAAAGAGAAATATCTTATTTTATAGTTAAGCCTAAATTTGTATATTTTCTCATTATTTACATCTTTCTCCTGAAAGTATAATTGGGGGGGATAGCACATGGGAAGAAAGGAAAGAGGGAGAGACCAGTTAACTAAAGGACGGCTGGAATCTAGTTAAGGTATAACTAGGCAATGGTTATTCCAAACAATTATTATGGACATTAGTTATTCCAAGAAGGTAGAAATATAACTAGAAGAGAGTAACAAAAACTCACTTTCTAACAGAAAAGTGTTCTGTGGCACATTTGCACTTACCCATCCGAATGGCGGCAAGAAGATCGCTACGAGCATCACTGATTGCCGGCTGAGCCGGTTCTTGCCTCTTTGCTTCAGCCCCTGGGGGGCCATGCATGGGGGAGGATGAAAGAGAAGGCCCTGCTACAGGAGGGCCCGGTGGTGGAGGGGGTGGGCCTGGAGGAGGAGGAGCTGTAACAGCAAGCCCGGTAGAAGGTGGATGAGGAGTAGCAGTGTATGTGGAACTAGTCGCTAACGAAGGATAGGAAGACGGTGTAGGGATCTGGAGTGGGCTGACGAAAGCAGTTTGTGCTGAAGGAATCATGGGAGGTGGTGGAGGCGGTGGTGGTCCTGATGGGTTGTAATATTCAATTATTTGTGCCGGAAGCATCCTAACAAAAAGAGGGAACGCCAAGTCATCAGAATGTCAGCAGAAGGTGAAATTTTCTGAGGCTCTGAAATCTGTCAGGTTAGACACCCCTAGCCACATCATATATCCTGGGTCTAATTAGAACTACGTAGCGCAAGTATATACATTTTGTGGGAGTTGTTTCAAAGATCCTGCTCAATGCATTACCCTGGGACATCATATCTTTGCTTAATTCATCTCAGACATAAAGATGGCTCCAAAGGTAAAAGGAGTATTTGTGGGAGAAAGAAATATCATTTCTCGGCTGATCCCAGAATCTAGGAAGGCAGGAAGAACATTATTAATGCATACTCTACGGTAGCCAGTAACAGGGAAACACATAGTTAATCAAGGCAGGAGGAAAATCACTGTGAAAACCTGCAGGACAGAAGTGGGACAATTGAATTTACTGAAAAATAAGTGTATTATAGAGGGCAGAGATTGCCATACCCATTTCAGCACTGGCTGTAAGGCAATGCTTCAGAAAATATATTTAAGCTGAGAGAGGGAAATAATAATAAAAGTGGCATATTTGACCAAATGAAAGGGCATTCAGGAACTATGGAATTCAGTTCAAGAAGAGGAAGACAGATATTTGTTTTCTACCTGGATGAGAGAAAATTAGGGGTCCTGGTGAGAAGACATCATTATACTAGATGATGCCAAGCCAAGCCAAGCAAGTCAAGGAGAGGGAGCACATGACTAGGCACAGGGACGGTATGAAGTTAGATGAAGCTGTTTTTTGATTTGCGTTAAGTGTTTCATTTTGACACTTGTTTTTACAATGAAATTTGTGGATTAGAGTTAGGTTCTCCAATCATTTCAATAAGCATTTGCTAAAAGCCTACCATGCAAAATGTCCTGTGCTAGGCACTAAGAGGACTATACAGATAATGGGACATGTGTCATGCCCTCAAGGAGCTTACAATCTAATAAGATTTTTAAAAAATGTTTATTCCTGGTTAGCATATGGAGTTCAAAATGCCTCCTGAAACAATCCATTCAACTTTCCTATAAAACGTGGTTGTTGTTTTTAAACATAATGTAACTAAAAAGGCGAAGAGTCTACTAGTATGTTACTGGCCCATGTCTTTACCTGTAATTTGGCACTCATGATAGAATTATTGTTTAGACAAGTCAGATTTTCTCTTGCAGACATCGTAGCCCATGAATTATTAAAAACACAATCAAAATGCCAGCTACATCTACTATACTTTCAAAGAGTCCAGGCACAAGGAAAGTTTACCCATAGTCCGATGGCACCAACGGGGCAGAGGCCTGTGAGCCCTCCGAGGCCTGTGGTGGGGGTGGTGGTGGCTGCTGAGGTCTGTTCAAGGTCATGTGCCTGACCGTGGCAGAAGGAGGTCTGTTATACTCATGCTCGAGGGGTTGATTCGTAGCCCCATACTGCTGTGCATCTCCTGCTGCGTAAGAAGGAGTCACTGGCTGCTGATGAAGAGAATGATTTGGAGTAGCAGGATAAGAATAATCAGTCACATCAGATGCATGGGACCTATAATTAAAGGAGAAGAAATGAGAAGGAATAGAATGACTTTCAGGTTTTTTTGTCTTCTAATATATATAAAATCTGCTTTTCTGTTATCAATTCATAAGTTATAAATTCCCTATTCCCTTTCCTATATTGTCATGAAAACTACAGAGCAAAAACTGGATTACTATCTTAGCCAGAAAATGCAAGTGTTGTTTGAAATTAAATTCACAGCTTCAGAATGAGTATATCAGATGAGCTGACATGTAGTAAATACCAATACCTTATTTTTTCAATACTTGAGGAATATTTTACTCAGTCATAGAATAGTATAGAACAAATCAAATTAACAAACAATATTTAAGACAAGACATAGCATTCTAGTGCAATGAAATACTGACAGCATATAATTAGAAATTATATAACAGTAGGTGAATTGGATAAACATTAACAGTAAGAGAAGTAAAAGAAATTAAGAATGCAATGCAGTAAATAATTTTTTGCTTAAACAGAGAAAATGTACTTAACCAAAGCACAGTATAATGATTTAATAAGTTTAATATTTAAAAGCCTTGTTTTCTTTGCATAAACAGTTGAGTATAACAAGCTGAAAGGAATGCAAATATTTTATTAGTTGAGCATAGAGTTCACAAAGATGCAGAGACTGCTGTAATCCAGGGTCAGCTAAGCCCAAGGGAGGGGAATGAGTAAAAGGACCTGTTTGTCCCACAGCTGCAGAGAACCAGGTGGCATTAGTAAGAGACAATCGTGCAGTTCTGGCACTCTGTTAAAGGACGCATTGAGTCAGTAAATTGAAGGCGTATCATCGCAGGAAGACTGAAGCAGGGCAGGCAACAAAAAGCCAGAGCTCTGAATAAAACAAAAAAGACCAACCCTCTGGGCATTCTGTCCTCTTTCATGCTCCCTGCCTGTTCCAGTTTCTTGGCGTCACTCATGAATTCAATACCCATTTTCCTTCGCTCCCACTCTTCTTTTCTTGTTCTGACCTTCCTCACATTTATTTGCTGGTTTCTGTTAGGATTCAGCTTGTGTTTCTCCCTCTGAAGCAAAACAGGGAAAGAGACATTGGTGGAAAAGCCACAGACTGGATGTCAGGCTCTGGGATTTTATGCAGTGCAGTCCTGTGAAGGCACCAAGTGATTTTGTTCAATGCAGAGGAGCTGTTGTCATAGAATCCTCCATAGCCGTCCTTGTCCCTAACTGCAGCATAAACTCCAGAAGATGAAGCAAATGTGAAAGCATCTTTGTAGTGTGTAAGCTGCTAGTAAAGGAGTTATAATTGTAACAGGGAAAAATGTAGGGAGAACCTGTCTCGTCCTGAGATTTGGTGTATTTTCTAGATGTGGCCATGTCAAGAACCCAACCCCACTACAGAAGGCAGCAATTAAAGACAACACCTTGAAGGCAAGGGGGAAGGACCAAAAGATACTGAGCACTTCCAAAAGAACCTTAGCCAAAAGAAAGAAATAATGAGGATTATTTAATGAAATTACCTACTTAAAAAAAAAAAGAACTGGGCTGCATTGGTACCCCTATGAAATGTAGGGATGAAAAGGGCTACAGGAGACAAAATAAAGAAGGGTGAATAGTGTAATAATGGTGACTGGATGAAGTGGGGAAAGAGGTATTTGACAGCTGGAATTACAAATTGACAATAGGGCAGTGTAGAGCACTGGACCTGAAGTCAGGAAGAACTGAATTCAAATCCAGCCTCAGAGTCTTACTAAATGTGTGACCCTGGTTAAGTCACTTACCCTCTACCTGTCTCAGTTTCTTCATCTGTAAAATGGGTATAATAATAGCACCTACCTCTCAGGGCTGTTGAGAGGATAAAATGAGGTATTTGTAAAGTGTCTGGCAAATTTAAAGCTCTATGTCAATTATAGCAATTCTTATAATGATCATTATAATCTTATAATTATAGCTAGTAAGGAGTGGAAATCTAAAAGGGGGTAGGTTCTTATGACAGATGGGTGAAAGGTCAGCATATCATTACATCTCTATAATCTTTTAATGGACTGAAAGCGAAGGATAGGTAAATGGAGGGTCTTTAGGGATGTAAGAAGCTACTGCAGAACAGGAGAAGGTCAGAGGGTAGGTGGGAACCAGTAACAAAATGGGTCATTTCAGAGCAGGTATTAGGAAGAGAGACCTATGGATACAGGTAAAGAATCACTGGGTTCAGTTGAGACTATACGTGTTCATAATGCCTCGGTGACCAGAAAGAAATGGAAATAATTCTAAAGTTGTTCTAGCCAGCCTAACAATTCTATATCAGTAAGCAGTGTGATACAAAGCAAAGGATATGGGCTTTGGAGTTAGAAAACCTTGGCTTGCATCCTAACCCTGACACTAACTACCTAGGTGATCTTAGAGAAGTGACTTCATCTCTCCAGATCTCAGTTTCCTCATGTGAAAATGAAGGTATAGGATTAGCTGGCCTCTGAATGCCTCTGTAGTTCTAAATCTATCAATCAATCAATAAGCATTTATTAAGTTTCAGGTACTCTTATAGGTACCAGACATACAAAAAAAATGAAAAAGTCCCTACTTGCAAGAAGTTTACATTAACAGAGAGAAGAACATATACAAGTACATACAGAATAAAATAAAAATGAATAAATAACAAGTAATTCAAAATAAGTGAGCTTAGGAGGGAGCATAATAGCAATTGAGGGGACGTCAGGAAAAGCTTCATTCAGAAGACGGTGCATAAGCTGCATTTTTAATGAAGAGAGTAATTCTATGAGGTGGAGGTGAGGCAGAATTACACTCCAGGAATGGGAGGCATCTAGCACAAAGGCACAGAAATAGTAGGTGGATTTACATGTATAAGAAACAGAAAGCAAGTTGTCTAGATCACAGCATAGATGAGGGAGAATAAAGTCCAATAAAGTTGGAAAGATAGATTAGAGTCAAGTTGTCTAGGGCTTTAAAATCCAAACAGAGAAGTTTTTATTTGATTCTAGAGGCAATAGGGAGCATACTATAGTTTATTGGGTAGAGACGTGATATGATTGGAACTGTGCTTAAGGAAAATAATTTTGGCAGCAGTATATCAGACTGGAATGGAGAGAGAATTGAAGTAAACAAAAAAACAATTAACAGTCCATTGCAATAATCTAGGTGAAAGGTGATGAGGGCCTAGGCTAAGGCATTAGCTGTATGAGTAGAGAAAATGGATAGAAGAAACAGAAATGGCAAGATCTGACAACTGTCCAGATGTGAGGGAAAGTCAGGTCAATGAGTAAGGATAATGCAAAAGCTACAAATCTGGGAAACTAACAGGGTGCTGGTGCTTACAAGAGAAATAGGGAAGTTCAGAAGAAGGGAAGGTTTGGGGAGAAAGATGAATTATTTTCAAATGATATATCTAATAGGAAATGATAATGCAGGAATGATGCTCAGGGGAGAGATGAGGACTGTGTGCATGTACGTCATGCGTGTGTGTGTGTGTGTGTGTGTGTGTGTGTGTGTGTTAGTCATTTTCATAATTCCATGGGAGCTAATGAGGTTACCAAAAGAAAGAGTGTGGAAAGAAAAGAAAGGCAGACCCATGACAGAACCTTGGGGAATACACATAGTTAGGGAGGATGAAATGAAACGAGGGGCTATCAAACGAGACTGAAAAGGAATGGTCGAACAAGAAGGACAAACACAAAAAGAGGAGGGTATTGTTATGAAAACCTAGAGAGGAGACAATATCCAGAAAGGGAAGGTGGTCTTTGACCCAGGAAGACCAATACTAGGTCTGTTTCCCAAGACTACTAGGGAAAAAGAAAAAGAACCTCTATGTTCGAAAGTATTTCTAGAAGCTCTCTTTGTGGTGGCAAAGAACTGGAAATCGCAGGGATGCCTGTCAATTGGAGAAGGTGGTCAACAGTTTCAAATACAGCACATAGGTCTCAACTGAGGATGAGAACCGAGAAAAGATCATCAAATTTGCCAATTAATAGATCATTGATAACTTCAAATACTTTAATAATAAGGTGTGAAGTAAGATTGCAAAGATTTTTGGAGTAAGAGGTGAGGAAGTAGAGATGGAATGCAGAGACAACTAAATCAAGAAATTTGGCTGACAAAGAAGGAAAGAGTGATTAAGATGATAGCTTGAGGGGATGGTATGGCTTAGTGAAGGGTGTGTGTGTGTGTGTGTGTGTGTGTGTGTGTGTGTGTGTGTGTACTTGGGCATGTTTGAAGCCAGCAGGAAAGAAAGTAGGAAATGGGAGAAAAGTTGAAAATAACAGAGTGCAGAGAATGACTGAAGGAGCAATTTTCTGGAAAAGATGGAAGGGGATGGAATTAAGCATACCAGTAGAGAGGGGTTAGCTTTGGCAAAAAGGCTCACCTAATTATCAGAGACTGGGGAGGAGAGAGTAGTGGAGGAAGTCAAAGGGGATTCTGAGATGAAGAGAAGGGGAGAAGCAGGAGCTTAAATTGAGTGACCTCCATTTTTTTTCTGAAAAGCAGTAGATAGGATTATGTGTAGAAGGTATGAAAAAGGAAATACAGTTTGGAATAGCTTCTGTAGGTAGTGAAAAGGGGAAGCAATTAGGAAGAAGTAAAAGAACTGTCTTTCTGCAGTGAGGGGCCATAAATCTACGATCCTATGTTTATGGAGACAATGTTCCCAGTGATCACTATGTAGGGGCAACATCACTTGCTTACGTGTATTTCACTTTCCATGTAAGCTAAAGGTGTGGTATCTGGCAAGTGAATATATTTTCATATGAAAACCTGATGAAAGAAATCATCCAAAACCAATAGTGAATTACATCGTATGCAGTGGTAGAAAAGATTGGTTGATGGATAGCAAAGTGCCATAGGAATGAGTCTTAGAAAAATGCAAATGCAAATAACAATAATGCTGCTGCTGATGACAGTATTTACATAGTGCACACAACATGGCACCCTAAATTTGCCAGGCACTATTTACAAATATCATCTCATTTTAATTTCACAGTAACCCTGGGAGGTAGGTGCTACTATTATACTCATTTTACAGTTGAGGAAACTGAGGCTTAGGTGACTTGTCTAAAGTGACACAGCTGGTAAGTTTCTGAGTCCAGATTTAAATTAAGGTTTTCCTGACCCTAGGCCTAGTGCTGAATCTACTGTGCCCTCTGGATGCCTAGACAGAATTTAGAAATTCAGAAAAAGTACAGCTCATACAACAAAACTAAGAAATATTTAAAACATAATTATGTGTAAAGAGGCTGGAAGAGTCTGAACAACCACCAATTTTGTTGTCAACTCGGATCAATTTGATCTTAAAATCCAGGATTCATACAAGGACCTTCTACAACATAAAAATGAATACTCATCTTCTTCCACTAGGGTTTCTGGAGAACATTACCTGAAATAGGATGTTTCACTTAGAATAAAAAGTTCAGATCCATAATAATCATTTCATTTCTGCATGAGTAGATTAGTAATGAAATTAAATGATAAATTAACCCAATGATTGCCAGTGAGAAAGATAAATGCTTACCCTCTCATGATGTATTCTAATATCTATTTTGCAGAAAACTATTTGGTCATTAAAATTCTAAAGCTGAAGGTAAAATTAATTAGAAAGTCTTGTACTGCACTGATTACAGAGGAGCAAAATTTAACTTAAGGCTTTTTTCATATCATGTTAGTAATAATCAAAATTTGGGGAAGAGAATGGTATTGGGACAAGGAAGTTAATAAAACTATCATAAATGTAAACCCAAGACTAAGTGGTGTTTTACGCTATTTGTTTTTAAATATAAAAACCACCACCAAGAAGAAATCTGGAAGAACAATCTTGAAAAATAAATACACCTTAAGAGCTATGGGAGATGTCTTTTTTTATTTTATATGCTGATAAAAGACTTTGCATAAAGTTTCATTTTTCCCTAATAGAAGATTTTAAGTTAGAAGGCAGAAAAATAATATAAACAAAATGAAAAGTTATCAAGTTAGCTCCACTGGACTCATTGCATCCAATGAATTACAATTGCCACTTAGTGGCCATGCATTTAGACCTGTTGAAGAAACATTTTAATTGAGCAGCTAACAGTTCACAAAAGTAAACTGCAATGATGATCATTTCTTGTAAATTAGAATACATGAGATTAGTTATTTGAAGGCCAGAAACAGACACATGTTTTCTTCCATTACTCTTAGTGAGATTTTCAAGCAGAACAATGGAGTTATTCTATTAATTATTCTGTTAATAGTAACTACCCATCATTTTCAGACACTGTATATCAATGGCAATTCAGCATGCCAAGCTAAAAATGAAAACATCATTACAGTTAATTAAATTGAAATTTAAATATCTTCTAAATTAACAGCGCTAAATTCAACATCAGTAACTCAACTAAATAATAAATTCAAGTCAGAGGGGTTTTAAATCATACAAAGAAAAACAATACACAAAAAAGCTTATAACTTCAACAAAATACTTTCAATGAATAGCCTAAGAAAGTTCTAAGATACATTCCAGACCTTTGAGAACTAAAGCTATTGCTGCATTTCCAAATTATTTTTAAATAAAACAACAAACACCTAATACATTGCCTATATTATTAAAAAAAAAAAGAAAATACCAAGAAATGCCTCATGCATAACTATTTCATGGGGATAAGGGAGCTTTAATGCACACAGACCTAGTATCTGGGGACAGGGATCCCTCGGAAGACGCTCCATGGTACACACTTTGAGACAACCTGTTGTCAGGTCTAAGCTCTTTGTCATATGCCATCATATTCCACTCCTGGCGCCTGTTCCTGGCTTTTCTAACCTTTTTCACCTCACGAGTTGTGCCATCTATACGCTTTTGCTCCTGATGTCCAGGAAAAGAAAGGAAGCATGCCAAGACAGAAGGGAAAGGGAAAACAGCAGGTTAAATGCAGTTAAAAATGAACAGAAATATAAACCTGACATGCAAATAGAAGCCATACCCTAACTGTAAAGGAATTTCTGAAGAAGGCTAATTCTAACCATCATGTGCTATGGAACCAAGAGAAGGCAGTCTATATTTTTCTCCTCATGTTATATCTCTACATAAGGAAAGCTGCTCTTTAGCTTCTCTCTACTGCCCAGATGAAAACATCTGACAAGGTATGATCAGGAAATAGTTTTCTACCACTGCACATTTTTTTTAAAAGCCTTGATATAGAATATCTGCATGGAAAAATATTTTTCTTCCAAAATAAAGATAAATAACCTTTATTCTCAGTTTCCAAGAGGCATTCCAAATGATATTTAAGCCAATTTTGTTAATGGTTAAGTAGAAAAACAGAAAACTTACCTGCCCCGTTAGTGAAACACTTATTTTTGCTCCAGCCCTTTGGCCCTATACAAAAATTGAGAACATGGCCCCACCACCAAAAGGCACAACAGTACAACCTCATCAGTAAACACTTAGGACTTAACACAGATATCTCTAGAGAGTGGTAGCTATTTACTCCTGTTATATTAATTTTTCTTACATAACCCATAAAATTCTACGTTTCTTAAAGACAAGGCCTGACTTTTCTACTTCTGTGTGACTTAAATTTTCAACTTCATCATTCTGGATGTGAGGCACTCAACTTTTTTTCAACTTATTTAGACTGATCAACTGCAGGGACAACACATGGTAAGTACCATAAGCAGGACCGAGCAATAACAACAGTAAATTAAGGTTAAGATTTATAAAGGGCACTTCTGACAGCTCTGTCAGAAAGGCAGGTAGATTAGGCAGGTGTTTTATCTCCATTTTGCAAATGGGGAAAGTGAGGCTGTAAGATATGAACTGACACAAAAGGGAGCAAGTAGGAGAGCAAAGATTTGATCCCAGGTCTTCTGAGCCCAGTGAGCTTTTCAGTCATCATACTATTTCTCCATAAAATTACAGTGAGGATCCAGAAAAGCAGCTCCCAAGACCAATGGTTCCCAACTCTGACTTGAGACATCCCTAACTGTCTCCAATTATTTCAAATAGTATCATAACTTCTAAAAAAATTACAAGTAAACATAGAATTCACTTTCATGTTCTTTATTTTGGAGCTAGATGTGTCATGTAACAATTTCAGGTGGGGTAAAGTACTGAAAAATCAAGCTAACAGCAGTAAGGGGCTGTGACAGCAATGTAGTTGGAAATCACCATCCTAGGAACCCTATGCTGTATCTATCCTTTCCAGATGGCTGATGGCTGATTATATGGTTGATTTAAACTATCATGAAATTACTAAGCTAAAGTACAGAACTGTTGGCCAGCTAAAAAGTACAATGGATAGAGTGCTGGGCCTGAAGTCAGGAAGACCTGAGTTTAAATTCGGCCTCAGACAATGACTGTCTATGTGACCCTGGGCAAGTCACTTAGCCCTGTTTGTCTCAGTTTCCTCATCTGTAAAATGATCTGGAGAAAGAAATGGCAAGCCACTGCAGTATGTTTGCCAAGAAAACCCCCAATAGGGTCATGAAGAGTCAGACACGAATGAAAGAACTCAACGACAACAATAGAGATGTTCGTGCTTGAAGCCTATTTCATTGGTGAATCTAATTTGTTGGTTTTCTGCCATTATTTTATCTTAAAGAATCCAAGCTTTTGACATCATGGGTACTTCCTTCAACACAGACTATGGTAGATTGTCTTGGAGAGCTGCTGTTAGCCTCTCTCAACATAGCTGAGATGGACAAATGCAAAGCCCACAATCAAAACCTTCCTAACTTCTGGGAAACCAAGGTCTTCCTATGCCACAGAGAGGCCATTGAAGGAAGACTTCAGTGGAGGCACTATTGCATCACAATGGAAAACAAATGGATTTTACACTTCAATAAGTGATTCAGGATGAAAAAAGACATGGATGGATTGAGATGTATTTTATACAAAAGAGAAACACAGATGGAAATAAAGTCACTGTATGTGCGTGTGGTTCACATTGGATTGGGAATCATAAGACTCACATTCACCCCCAGCTCTGCCACTTACTACCTATGTGACCTTAGAAAAGTCCCTTCATTGCTTAGGTCTCAGGGTCCGCATCTATAAAATGAAGGAATTAAGACTAGATAAATGCTAAGATCAGCTAATGCCTAAGTTTTCCAAAGATAGGACAATCTTTATTTCTACTCTCAGAATCAAACAATAATTATTGTGACTTTATAGGAAATCTCTATTTGACCTGAAGACAGTGTGATACCACAATGAAGCAATCACCACAATTACAAGTATTTGGGGAATTCAGGAAATCAAAGATCTAGAAGGAGCTACTAGTTTTGTAGACATGATAATTACAGATTTTCCATGAAGGCAAAGAAAAATGATTATATATGTATTTATGCCAAAAGCATCATTTTGGATCATCTGTAAGAGGCATCTGTAAGGTCACTGAAAGGTAAATTATATATATGAAAAGCACTCATAAGTTTCAATGAGCTTCTACATTTCATAAGAAATGTATAGCATGCCAATTAAATATTTCCTTGCCTCTTTTTTCAAGGGAATAGCATCCATCTTTTCTTCACATAGACAATAACTACAGAATCTTATAACTTTCCCATGATGTTCTTGCTCTTAATAAATTCCCCAAATCCAACAACACACACACACACAATAGAGATAACTAAAACAATCCTTTCCTTTTGAACAGGGCCCTATCTCTAGGATCTTTGTAGTTTATGTTACTTAAATGCTAAAAATCACTGAAAAAAATCCTTTGGGCTTACTAAATGCCAAACGTTTCTCTAAGTCAGAGGTTCATAAACTTTTTGTGTCATAAAGCCCTTTGATGGTCTAGTGATGCCTGTGAACCCCTTCTCAACATGTTTTAAAATGCAGAAAATAAAATAACATAAGATTACAAAGGAAACCAAGAGTCAGAAAAAATAAAAATGTAATTTTTTTCCCATTCAAGTTCATAGGCTCCCTCTCCTCTGAAATCTACTCACAGACAAGTTAAGAATCTCTGCTCCAAGCCAAAGCTTTTGGATATTTGCCATACAGACTGGATTGTCCTTTCCAGGAAGTCTGCGCAACAGATTGTCTTCCAACGGAAAAAAATAAACTTCTGGGATGCTAGGAAAACTTTCAGAGAGTGTTCCTTAGCTTTTCTTAATCACAAATGAAACATATCTCCAATAGAGAAGGCAACCTTCTGCAGAGACTGTTTTAGATAGTATCTGTACCTCTTATGATCTCCTCTCCCTTCCCCTCCACCAATCCCCCTAGAAGAGCATCATTTATGGTACATAATCCCTCCTAAATATAAACATCAAACTGGCTTTTCGTTCTAATACATACAATATACCATTTTTTAAAATAGAGTTGGTGAGTGAGAACCCAATCACTAACCACATTTAAAAAATTAAAGTTGATCATCTTCCTCTGCAATGGGAAAATAGGAGTTTTTCTGAGATGTAAGTAAAACCATAGGCAGAGAATTTTAATCACAAACTTATAAACAAAAATTGAGTTATGAGCATCTTCTCTTGTTAAAATGAAGCGGGTTGATTGAAAATGAGAAGGAATAAAAAGTTGAAAATATTTACTGCAAGATAATCACATGTGATTCTCAATTACTTTCATTTTAAAAATGTAACCAATGAAAAAATTTCAGCACCCTGTCTGACCTACCATCATTTCAATAAATAGCAAGATTCAGCAGCTTGGTTTGGATATCATACTCAAATTAGCCTATGAATATACATGTTTTCTATTCTGGAATGATTTACCTTTTGTCTTCTTTTCTCTTTCCTTTTGTCTTCTGTATCCTGTAGCATTTTCTCTTTCCAGAGATCAAAGAAATAGGAAGGATCAGTATAGAACTTCAGTCCATCTTTCTTATCATCTCTATAAAAGTGATATGGAAGTAAAGAAAAGGGAGATTATGTACATTTTTAAGCCTAAAGGTTTAAACTCTGATTCTAATTTACTGAACTACAATATTTAACAAACTGACAACAAGAAACGTTATTAAATGTCTTATTTCAATAACCACCTGAAGAAATCTGTGGAATTGTGACTTTTATATGTAATTTTAGCAACATATGCAAAACTAATTTGGTAACAAAAGCATTTCAAAACTCTCTTGGCTCCATAGTTACATGCAGAAAATTGTTGAAAAGAAATAAAAAAAATTTCCTCAAAACCTAGAAATTTTAAAATATATTCAAATATTACTGGGAAGTGTTTGTGCTGGTATCTCTGCCAACTCCTCAAGCCTGGAATTGGGTTCACCATGTGGAATGGAAACACATGTTTACTTTTATTCTGTAGCCCCAATTCATCTCAAATTTCCAACAGAGGATGCTACTCAGAAGTATTTCCTGATTCCTTCTAACGTTATAAATTTGATTCAACAAGCATTTATTCAATGTCTGCTAGGCACTGGATTTACAAAGACAGAAAGAAGACAGTTTCTCCCCATAAGGAGCTTATATTCCAGTGGATGAAGGGGAAGAGAGAAGAACATGAACACAGATAAATATACACAAAAGATATTCTAAGTAAATAGAAGGTGATTACGGCAGACAGGTGAGAAGTGGGGTGTTAACAATTGAGGGGATCAGGAAAGATTTCATTTAGAAAGTAGCACCTGAGCTGTGTTCTGAAGCAAGGCAGGGATTACACAAAGTAGAATGAGGAGAAAGAGTATTCCAAGCATGGAAGGTGGCCTAAGTAAAGACAAAGAGGAAAAAAGTTAGAGCATTGTCTAAGTGGAGCAGCAAATAATCCAGTTTGGCTGTAATGCAGCATGCACGAGAAGAGGTACATGTGTGATCAGTCTGGAAAAATAGATTGGAGCCACACAGTAAAAGGCCTTAAATGCCAAGTAGAGAAATTTGTCTTCTATCCTGATGACAAGAGGGAGACACTAAAACTTCTCGAGAAGGGAGTAACATAGGTCTGAGTTGTAGGAATATTCATTTGTCAGTTGTGTGGAAATTAGGAGAGAGGAGAAACTGGAGTCAAGGAGATGAACTAATAAATGATTACAATAAGCCAGGCAAAAAGTGATGAGGGCCTCACCAGTGGAGAAAAGGGTAGGAAAAAGATGGCAGTAGAACCAACAGAATTTAATAACTGATTCAATATGAGCAATGGAGGAAAGTTAAAAATGGAGGACACTGAGATTATGAAATAAGGGAGGTTAAGAGGAAGGAGTTCGAAGGGAAAAATGAGTTGTTATGGAGACACTGTATTTAATATTCTATAGGACATCCAGGTAAAAATGTCCATTAGGCAAGATACGTAAGTGTGTGGCTAAAAGGGGGATGGTGGTGGAATGAGGGCTGGAAATGTGGCTTTGGGAGCTACTGAGATCATCTAGAGAACAACAGAGGACTTAGGACGGAATGCTGACCTCTTCCAGCACAAGGGGGGTGAGGCATGCATGATAATGTAGGAAAGGAGACTGCAAAAGAGAACCATGAGAGCAGTGTCACGACAACGAAGAGAGAAGAGTGTCTAGGGGATGACATGGAGATCAATGTTCAAAGCTACTGAGCAGATAAGAAAGAAGATTAATAAAAAAAACATTCTATTTATCAGGTTTCATAATATTACTGGTAATATTGAAGAGTGGTGTCAGTTGAATGGTGGAACAGAAGTCAGACTGCATGAGGTTTAGAAGTAGAAGGTTCAAAAGTGGAGGCACCCACAGTTTTTCTAGGATTTTTGCTGTGAAAAGGAGAACAAGATGATACCTTGAAATGAGTGTAAGAGGCCATAAATTTACCCAGATTTTCTTTTTGGAGCTTGGCAGTGAAAGCGAAGAGATATATAGCATGGTAACTTGAGAGGACAACAGATCAAGGGAAGGTTTTAAGGTCGAAGGAGATCTGTTCAGATATCCTGGAGAAGAATCCTGGTGTGGAGTAGAGAGAGTACTGGGCTTGAATCTTGGTTCTACCATTGACTACCTTGAATAAGTAATTTTATCCACTCCTCTAAGCCTCAGTTTCCTTGTGTGTAAAGTAGATAGACTAAGCATCCCCAATGTCCCCAGAGTTCCAAATCCTATGAGCCTATATCAGACTTCCCCTTCTACTCATATCCCTCATTTACAGAAAACGAAGATTCAGTAGCTGCAAATCACTAACAACCGTCCCCATGACCTTCTGTAAAATGTAAGCTATTTGAGAACATGGGCAATGGCACTGTTTATTTTTGTGTTCCCACTGCTTACTATAGATTTTGCATTTAGCAAGCACTTAATAAATGTTCACTGCACTGCACTGATAGTATCTTATCTGAACTTTGTATCTCTGCCAGTGCCTAACTGCTCTGTACACAGTAGGAATTAATTTCACAGAATCCCAGAAAATAAATAGGGGACTTCAGAAGAAGTAGGGAATAATTGATCAAAGCAAAGGACAAAAGCTGCAAGGCGGATGTCTGACTAATGATGCCAGCATAAGACCATGGTCATTATAGCCAGTCTGGTTGGCATTGAAACCCTCAAGTCCAAAGAACCAATGATGAGGGTCACATTGTTAAGGAGCTATGGGAAGCTGAGGCCTCCTGTTGGTATAAACTCCCAGAAGACGCTTATCTACCAGGCAAGATTTCTTTTCTACTCACCCACTTTTTTTTTTGTCTAGAGGGTTCCAGCGCCTAAATTATTTCCCTTTCCACTATGTTACCCTATTCCTTATGGCCAGAGCTTGTCTTCTTCCTTGGACCTCTTGGAGAATATAATACCACCTCCCACATGTCCTTTGAGGGTTTCCCAAGGTTTTGTTGCTGCTGCTGCTGCTAATTAATAGTTCTCCTCATCCTTCAAGTCTCCAGGTATTGCCTCCTCCAAGAAGTTGCCCTTCCCTTCTCCTCCATCTCTTTCCTCTTTGATTTTCCTTCCTAGAGTACTTTGCCTAGATCTCTTCTCTGCCCCAACACATTTTCTACATTTTATTATATTTAATCTATATACATGTCATATTCTCCTTCTATAAAATGTAAGCTATTTGAGAACATGTACAATGGCACTGTTTATTTTTGTGTTCCCACTGCTTACTATAGATTTTGTATATAGCAGGCACTTAATAAATGTTCACTGCATTGAACTGATAGTATCTTATCTGAACTTTGTATCTTTCCCAGTGTCTAACTACTCTGTACACAATAGGAATTAATTTCATAGATTCACAGAATGTTAAGCAGCAGAGATCTAGCTCAGTAAACATCTTACTTTACTGTACCTCTAAACAAGGGAGTGACCCTTACGGCAATTTAGTTCAACAAAATGGAATAGATGGGTTAGACTAGATGGCTGCATTGTATAGGGGAAAATGAGAAGAAAAAGAAAGAATGCATTTGCATTGGGTGGTTAGGCAGTATTAATTCTTTTGGGGTTCATTTTTTATTTGGCCTAAACTGTATGCTCACTGCTCTATAATGATGGTGGGTTAACTTGTTGATCAAACTGTCTCCCTATAGTCTGTAACACTGCATAATATTCTCTGCTGTCTGGAATGATAAATGTCTCTGCATTGAAATGTGGAGACAGATCAATTGTTTTCTGTATGGTAACTGAATTATGTAGTTACCTTTACATAGTCTTGGAACATATTAAGCACAAATCCCATACACCATCACTGACAAACGAACCATTTCCATTGAAGAAATCCAGAGTTCACTCTTTTGCTAACAAGCATGCTGATAATAAGAAATAATGCAACAACAAGAATTCAAGGCTTTCAAGTTTCATCTTGTTTTGGTCCCTTTGCAACAATCCAAGAATTTAAAAGATTGTCACCTAAAAGAATTTCTCCTCAAAGAAGAGTTTCTATCCAGTTAAATGAGTCTTTTCATAATACTTGTTCATTGCCTAAAACCAGATTTATAATGAAAAAGTAAAATCAGACCTTATGGCTACATAAATCCATACCTGTAAGGTGTGAGTATATTCAGGGGAGGTGGCTTATCACTCTGATTGTAAATGTCAGAAACTGGATTGGGAATACTGTTCTTGGAAACCACCTGCTGGTCTTGTATTGTAGAGCTTTTGAATGCTTTCTTCATGTTAATATCCTGTAGCGATACTGTTGAAAGACCCAGAAAAGTCTGGTTAACAGAGAATACATTTATTTTCACTGCTAAATTCAATTCCTACACATTTAAACCGATCACAAGGTTTTCCAGGACAGCTTTTCAACAGTCTTTGCAAGTAGCCATGTACAGCCATATGTACACACTACATCACCTTTCCCCTAGACAAGCATCTCTCTCTCTCTCTCTGTCTCTCTCTCTCTCTCTCTGTCTCTCTCTCTCTCTCTCTCTCTCTCTCTCTCTCTCTCTCTCTCTCTCTAGGTGTGAACTAATTCAGAACTGACTCCAAAGTAAGAACTTCCTTCTCAGCTTGTGAGGGGATCTGCCTAGTATACTTCAGGTATATTAAGTACCTTCCTTAAATAAAATGCTTTTTTTCTCAAAAATGGCACGTGGGCTGCCAAACCACAGTCACTGTGTAACTATCCCTCTTTAATACATATGAATGGATGCTTATGTGTATGTAACAGTCTTTTTTTTTAAATAGAGAAAATGGCAATAGAGATTTCTTTGAATTAAGCTTATGTTCTTACTAACACCAATGAAGAGATGTAGAAATAGACAAGTGACGAGAGATTCTATCCAGCAACATACACATGTACACATACACACACACACACACACACACAAATAGAGGAATCAGTGTGAAGCCTTTAGTCTCTAGAACAATAGAAGTACACACACCAAATTCAGTTTCCCATGGAATAAATCCATTCAAATAGCAAATATTAATCAATATTTACTTAGATAATTGGACTATGGTTCTACTAGTAACATGAACAGGACTTTTTTTTTTTTGCTGGAAGCACAAACTAGGAAAGATGGCAGAAGTACTACACCAATTATATTAAAAAGCTACAGGAAATTATCAGAACCACAAAATGATCAATAAAAGCATTATGATATAAATCCATCTACAAACTAATTAAAAATGGGGGTTCAGGGCTATTAAAATAAGGTTCAGCTCAGTATTACATAAATTCTGATCTATATATTTACCTTCATGTGGTTTTAAATCTATTGTACCATAAACATTTTAATTATAACAAAGAACTTGAGGCCATGCATATGAAAAAAGTTTGATTTCCAACAATTTAAATAGTCAATTATAGTATAACTTAAGATCAAAGTCCTTTACTCCACTGATATCTGAAGGTCCTAAATTAGTCTCCAAATTTTTGTCTTCTAAAAGAATATTTAGCCATTTTACAAGGCAGAAAAAAAGAACTCTATAACTTTCTAATGTTCAAAGTTGCATTTTTCTTAAGCAGAAAAATTAAAACATCAGGGCGCTGATTGTTATACATTTCTGTCAAATTCCATTTTGTAAATTAGATATTGAGAAGAAATTTGTTTTTAGCATGTACCAGTAGGAACTCTCTTTTTCCTCTTTTGTATTCTTTGTAAGAGACGATGACTCTTTGAGAAAAGGAATGGGGCCACATGTTTGGAAATGCAGGTGACATTGAAAACAAAAGAAAGCAATAACCAATAGTAAAAGGAAACTAAAAACTAAAAAAAAGTGCAAAAGATGGAATTCCATGAAAAACAGCTTTTTAAAGTTAAACTTTACTATATGTTACCTTACAAAAGAGCTAAGCAAATCTAATGACAGAGAGAAGAGGAGAAAGAATCTTTTATCAGACAATGTGAAAAAAAGATTCCATAAAGGTATACAAAAGGGAGAGTGCATAAGGATTCCCTAATGTCTTAAAAACTGTGTCCCATTTTTAAAAAAATTATTTTTTAAATAAAGTTTAGTTTTTTTTAATTAGCTCTTTTAGTTTCTTTAATAAATAAAATAATGTCCTCTATAAATGAGTGTTCAATAAATATTTGACATGAATGAAATGTGCTGCATATACCATTGGCCCAGCAATATAAAGGCAAAAGCAACTTAGGATAAACATTTTTTAATAAAATTAAATTTGAAGCAATAATACAGTCTTTTTTCTAATGCTGGTTTTTTTTTTTCAATACAATCTTTTATAGTAAATACTCTAGTAATGCAATTTTGTTTTTAAAAAGATAAAGGGATGTTGATTGCTTTAAATTTTGTGCCAACTGCCCTAGTACACAATTCCGGTCACTTGGGGTCCAACATAAAAACATTAGTAATGGCACAACCCTTGCAAACATTAACATTATTTAAAAACACAAAGTCTAAAAGCTCCAGATACATGTCACTTCAAGAAGTTTTGAGGGACCCCAAGTGACCAAAACACTTACCCTAAAACACTTACAAGAATTAGTGGAAAAAAATGAATCAGTAGGAAACCTTCAGTTTGCTGTACAATAATGCACATAATTTTCTCTCTCAGTCTTGCTGTCATTCTTCTCAAAAGGACACCTACTGTCCCTACGGCTAAAGTGACTAGATAATGTGGACAAGTTTTCAGGTGCAACAATATTTGAGGCTATTACTTATAGCATGAAGTAGTATTTCTGGATGGAATGGGTGGCATGTATGAGGTCTCATACTAAAAACCTTTTAAAAGAAAATTTTCATTTAGCAAGAATTTTTTATAAATTGGGCATGAGGATAAGATATAGGTAAGATGTATGTATGTATGTATGTATGTATGTATGTATACACACATAACACATAACTTTTTTCTAACTCCTTTCCTAATTAACCCAATGTTGTACATTTCTTTTCTTATCAGAATGTCCTAGGAAAAGACAAAATGAAGGATCAACTTACTGTCCTAAGGAAAAGCTGTAATTGTGCTGTAATTAATTACTACCATCTTGTCAGCATCACTTCTGGCTCACTGCTTTCATGCAATTACCTACCCTCTTCCACTGTTGAATCCAGCTGGGTAACTTTGACAGCGAGGCGATCAATTCTGTCTTGAAGAGAATTTGCTCTGATGTAAAAGTTGTTGGCCTCATTAAACAACTCACCAAATATGTCTTCAGCATGTTTGCCTATAACAAGAAAATGAATGGGGAAAGCCATCTGTTGAAGATCTGCTGAAGCAACCTTCACATGTTTTCACCATTGCCATAATACTGTCAACACATATTGTTTTTTTGCAAAGAACTTCAAAAATGTTTTATTCAAGCACTTTCAAGACTCTCTAAAAATGTATTTGCAACATTCAAATATATGTGAAAGGGACCTGGAGTTGTAATGTTTTAAAATACTTTAGAGATACCTTAGGATTTGCATTTCACTACCTTATGAAATATAATTTAGGTCTAATTTCCCTGAAATTTAAATCCTTTTTCCACTTTGCTGTTATCAAATATGTTTTAAGCTAGAGACCATTTGGCACTAGCCCACAACAGAATGTTTAGTAATTGAAATGATGTAGAGAGTTCTCAGGAATTAATCTCTCCCTTAGTTCCAATATTACCAAGTTTGCATACATTGCCTATATGAGAAACCAGTGCCTATCTGACAAGACAAACCTCAATTACTGTGCTACTAAGGTGATAAAATAAAAGTTGGAGAAACAGCCAGCCCTCTGCCCACAAAAATAACAACACTGTAGATTTCCCTAATATTTAACCTAAATATACCTTAAAAATATATTTTGTTAGGTCATTCATGTTATTTCACAATATCTCAAATATTGAGGCTTTCCCAATAGATGTTTATACCTTTCGAATATTTAGCATATCTTCTAAAATAACTTTCCAAATTTGGTCTTCAACATTTCCTCATAACCATTCTTTTATTTTTTGGAGGGAGGGAAGAGAAGAGGGGAGGTAAAATACTAACTGACTTCAGTTTTCACACCCAATATTCACATTAAACAAAGAGAGACTTGCTGTTTGGGGATGTAATAACTTCACATAGCAGTAACACCATACTTTTGTATACAGCTTTGCCTTTAAAAAAAGTACATACATTATCTCACTAGAAACTCACAGCAGTCCTGTGGAGTAAAAGCCTCCAAAGCCCTGTCGAGTAAAAGCAGTGGGGATAAAGACTGGATCTAAGATTTAACTGAAGTGAAAAGCAGGGGAGATATTAATTCTCATTTTGAAGATAAAGAAACTGGGGGAAGCTATAACCCAAGGTCATAAGACTAGTAACTTGAACCAAAGTCATCTGATTTCGAATCCAAGCACTTTTCAGTGGTTTAGTGGAATTCTTATTCCCCCCCAGATTATCATTTTAAAAATTCAGGTCTAATCTGCTGGATTCTAACAACTTTCCACTTTTGCTCAAAATTCCTACTTTGAATTCTCTTTTGAATCCAACTGTTTTTCTCCAGAATTCTCATTTTTTTAAGGCACACAATACCTCCATGTTCTTTTGAGTACTAGATGCAACTCCAACTTAATAATTAATTAATGAAGCATTAAGTAAGGCAGGATGCTGAATTTACCTTCCTTTTTAGAATCCCCTCCCACTTAGAGAAATACCTTCATGTCTGTCGTTCACTCTATGTGTGGATTTTCACTCAATTTATTGAACTGGGACAGGGACACACAAAAGTACCTAATTATCACAGAACATCAGGGATTGGTAAATTCAAATTACATTAACTAAATGGACTGAGAATGTTAAATACTTAATATGAGGACTAGAACTGTGATATTGATAAACGGAACTCCTAGATAAGAAAATTCCCTTTACCAATGATGGTCAGCCCCATGTCTGCTTCTGCAAGAGGGAGCTAGGTTGTACAGTAGACAGTGGTGGGACTGGAGTGAGGAAGACCCAAGTTCAAAGCCCACTTCAGGAACTTGCTAACGGTGTGACCCTGTGTGACACTTAACCTCTGTTTGCTGTTGGGACAATAATAGCACCTATATGCCAGGGCTGTTGTGAGGATAAAATCAGATAATACTTATAAAGCACTTAACATATGCCTGGAACATAGTACGCACTTAATAAATGCTTGTTCACTTCCTATCTACCATAATCCTAGGGCAGGAGTTGTTCAACTTTTGTTATGTCATGGATGTCTTTGGCAGACTGGTGAAACCTAGGTACCCTTTCTCAGAATATGTCAAATGTATGATATATAATATGTAAGAGTACAAAGGAAATGAATTATATTGAAATATAGCATATATAGTATGTATGTGTGTATGTATGTAAACAGAGAGGGAAGGGAAGAGAATAAGAATTCATGTGGCACCTACTTTGTGCCTGGCACTCTGCTAAGTGTTTTATAATTATTATCTCATTTGACCTCACAACAACCCTGGGGAGTGGGTACTAGTATTACTCTCATTTTATCATCAAGGAAATTGAGGCAAATAGAGGTTAAGCGACATGCCCAGGTAAAGGTCCAGTAAAGGTTTAAAGCTGATCTTAAATTCAGGTCTTCCTGCCTCCAGGTCTAATGCTCTCCTCACTACACCATCAGCTACCTTCTATGCAAACTTGTAGAATTCTGAAAGGATGAGTAACTTGTCCAAGTAATATGGATCAGAAGTGGGACTTAAACTCAAATCTTCCTGGCTCCAAGGCCAAAGGACAGCTCCCTCATGATTCCTCTTATATACTTCATGGTTGTTCAGTCTTTTTTTCCCAATTGTGTCTGACTCTTCATGATCCCATTTTGGGGTTCTCTTGGCAAGGATACTGTAGTGATTTGCCATTTCCTTCTCCAGCTGATTTTACAGATGAGAAAACAGGCAAACAGGGTTAAGTGACTTTCCCATGATCACATAGCTTGTAAGTGTCTGAGGATGGATAAGTTTTCCTAACTTCAGGCCCCCACTATTACTAGCACACCACTAAGCTATTCACATTGTATACTTAACTACTTAAATTTTACTTCTCTAAGGATCTGAGCTGGACAAATGTGGCTCATTGATGTCCTTGAAAGGGAACATCTACTTGAGAGAAGGTCCTTCCAAGCAGAATCACTTCCTGAAATTTATGCATAGTCTAGGAACCATGAAAACACTCAGTAAAAAAACCAAACAAACATTAAAACACCACTCTGTTTCAATGAACAATTTTTTTTCTTAAAAAACACCATCTGCAAGCAAAATCTTTTATATTTCAGTGTGATTTGCTTAAATATGCTCATTTTCAATATAAATGTGCTGAGCAAAATTCATAAATTCTCATGAATTTTCTGAGGAAAATTCAAAAGTCTTTACACAAATTATATGAAGACTTTCATGTGTTCATGTGCACATTTAAAAAAAAAAACAAGTAAACTGAGGGCCAAGGCATCTAATAAGTAGCAAAGGTAAGATTCAAACATCTCTCAATTCCAAAAACATTTTCACCCAAACAACAAGTCTGCCAATATCAATGAACAAACCATGAGGGGGGTTTTGGACATTATGGAGGAAGGCTGCAGAGTAAGGAAGATTCGTGAGGAATTGTCTTCATTTTGGTTCATTTGCCACAGAACCTGAAGTGTGACTCAGTCTCAAAGAATGATTCTTCCTCCAAGTTGGTCTGTGCCCAGAAAGGATAATCAGAACAATGCATCTGAGGCTCCAAATGGAAAGTAACTTGAAGACTATTAGATTGAGTCTCTAGAAGCCTGTGTCTGATAGCGTTTCTTTCTAGGAGGATGTAGCCAAGAATTCAGTGAAACATGGGAAGACCATATGTTCTGATGCAGAGTGAGGTTAGCAGAACCAGGAAGCAATCTATATAACGCCTACAAAAACATACACTAAAGGAATAAAACAAAGTTGTACACTATATAATCTGAATAATTCAATTTGGCCTCTGAGAAGAATTGGAAAAAATGCACCTTCCCCTTTCACTGAAGAGCATGAGGGACCACGGGTATGGGATGTGACAAATGCTGTCAGACATAGTATGGTGGTGGGTTTTACTGAGTTATCTTTCTTTTTCTTTTAAAATCTTTGTTAAAAACATAGAAGATTCACTGAGTAGGATATGGATATTTTCAGAAACACTTATTAAAACAAAAGGCAACAACAATAAAGGAAATAACAAAACTAGAACATCACGGGAATTTTTTTTTAAATAGGAAAAATAGAGAAAGGTAATTTGTACTCCCATTTTAAATTATACAAGGTTAGCTATGTACTTCAGGAAGATCATTTTGGTAGCTGAGTGGAGGACAGAGTGGAGTAGGGGAGAGACTTGTGATTGATAGGAAGACCAATCAGGAGGGTATTTCCTATACTCCAGGTGTGAGATGAGGGGGGCCTGAACCAGAGTAACAGTGGGAGAGAAGGAGGCATAGTCAAGAGATGTTATGTAGGTAAAATTGGCAGGTCTTGGCAACAGGTTGGACCAGCGCATGAAAGAGAGAGCAGAGTAAAGTATGATACCTAGGTTGTGAGCCTGGGTAACTGGAAGGATTACCTTTGACCGAAAAAGGGAAGTTAGGAAAATGTACAGGTTGGGGGAAAGACGAATTCAGTTTTGGAAGAGTTAAAAGACATCCAGTTCCAGATGTCCCAAATATATTTGCCATGTTGTTGCTTGAGAGGCAACACAGTTTAGTGAATGGAGAGTTGGCTTCTAAGCCTGGAGACCTGGATTTGAATCTTCCCTTTGACACATTTTGTCCAGGGGTATGTTACTTTGGACAAGTCGCTTAGTATCTCAGTGCCTAGGCCAGCAGTGTCAAATTCAAATAGAAAGAGGGTAGGGATGCCCACTACTCCACAAATAAGTATCCCTGCAGAATATATATTGACTTGTTTTAAAATTTTAATATTATCTGTTTTATTATACTTTATTTTGTTAAATATTCCCCAGTTAAATTTTAATCTGATTCCTACCTTACTTGGGAATCTTGTGGGCCATGTTTTTGATACCTGTGCTTCAATGAAGTTCTTTAAGACTACAAATTGCAGAGAAGGTGCTATCCTGCACTGGTGGAAGAAGTTTACTCCCCTGACAATTGTCTATAAGACTGAAATCTCAGGGGCAGTCACTATCCTAAGAGTCAAGTAGAACTTAGAACAGAAGGCAGTTCTGTGCTGTCTACAGAGAACTAGGACCAGAGTGGTGACTA